GATGTGATTGGTTAGCACAGTGATCACATGGCAATATTTATATTGCCAAGCCCTCCTCTTCCATCAGAGTCAGTAAAGTGAGTAATGAACGGATGAGTCATCCATTTATTACTGACTAATGGAAACAAGCTGCAGCAGCAGAAAAAAAAAAGTTTCAACCATTTAACCTTCCTCTCCTGCCTATGTTAGATCCATTCTATCTCTGCTGTGGTCAGTGTATATATTACCCCTTTCACCTCCCTTATCCTGCACATCGATACATTAACCCCTTCATCTCCATGCTCCCACTGTATCGGATCTGTACATTAACCCCTTCACCTACTCCTCCCTCTGTGTATGTCCTGCACATGTATTGTATCTTAAGCACCATTACCAAGCTCCACGCTTTAACCCCCTCAATACTGGCATGGAGTGTCTACTTTCAAAAAAAGAGGTCATTTTGGGGATTTTCATACTGTCCTGAAATTTTTTATTGACTATGATTTATAAATGAAAGTAAGAGAAACATGCTTTTTTCAATTTTTTTGGTCTGTTTTACTTTATATAGTAAAGAATATAAAAACCGGTTACCACTAAAAAGCTCGATTTGTCCAAAAAAGTGATATCAAAATAATTTGGTTACAGTGTTGGGTGACGGAGGAATTCTTCTTCAAACTTGCACAGCGCTGAGAACTGGGAAATTACCTGGTAATGAAGGGAGTGTGACATGCTGGTACTGAAGTGGTTAAAAAAAGGGGCATATTTATAAAACCGCAAATGTGACATTCACCAAATATTGACTGCAGGTGAAACTTACTGCTCCATGTAGTATACATTATATATATATATATATAGAGTACCTGTGAATGTATCAACACCCCCCCCCCTCCAAAAAAAGCATAACCATTTGTCAATTCTGGATTGCTTTGTACTGTACACTCTTCATCAAGGCCTACATGGCTGATTGGAGAAATGTGCAAGAATGAAGTGGCTCCTTTATTTCCAAAGCAAGCTTCAGCAGCTGGTTGTGGAGATGGGCTTTATCTGCAGAACCAGCTTGGAAAAAAAATTATTTCATCCTGCAAATTCCTCTGTGATTTTTTTTTTTTCTTCATCCCAATCAACTTTGCAAGCGCTCATGAAGTGGGCAATGGCCTGCTCCTGTGTTTAACACTGCACAGTCCACAAGCAAATCTTTTGCTAGACTGGGCTCTGTATGTTTTCTATATTGGATTTCCTGCATATCCAGCAGGGGAAGTACAACCACTGTAATTGATGTGAACATGGCAAGAAATATATGTAGTTTAACCAACTGCTGACCGGCCACTATATAAAAAATACCAGTCCGCTGCCCCATTGTTCTGGAAGCAGGTATCTGTACCTCCTCCTGTGATCATGTGTTTACACGTGGCAGCTGCTGCTCCTGCTGTCATTAGACAGTGAAGAGCCGCGGCTTTAGACGCAGCTGTTTGGACCAGACCTGTGTCCTAGAATCGATGTGATTGGTTAGCACAGTGATCACATGGCAATATTTATATTGCCAAGCCCTCCTCTTCCATCAGAGTCAGTAAAGTGAGTAATGAACGGATGAGTCATCCATTTATTACTGACTAATGGAAACAAGCTGCAGCAGCAGAAAAAAAAAAGTTTCAACCATTTAACCTTCCTCTCCTGCCTATGTTAGATCCATTCTATCTCTGCTGTGGTCAGTGTATATATTACCCCTTTCACCTCCCTTATCCTGCACATCGATACATTAACCCCTTCATCTCCATGCTCCCACTGTATCGGATCTGTACATTAACCCCTTCACCTACTCCTCCCTCTGTGTATGTCCTGCACATGTATTGTATCTTAAGCACCATTACCAAGCTCCACGCTTTAACCCCCTCAATACTGGCATGGAGTGTCTACTTTCAAAAAAAGAGGTCATTTTGGGGATTTTCATACTGTCCTGAAATTTTTTATTGACTATGATTTATAAATGAAAGTAAGAGAAACATGCTTTTTTCAATTTTTTTGGTCTGTTTTACTTTATATAGTAAAGAATATAAAAACCGGTTACCACTAAAAAGCTCGATTTGTCCAAAAAAGTGATATCAAAATAATTTGGTTACAGTGTTGGGTGACGGAGGAATTCTTCTTCAAACTTGCACAGCGCTGAGAACTGGGAAATTACCTGGTAATGAAGGGAGTGTGACATGCTGGTACTGAAGTGGTTAAAAAAAGGGGCATATTTATAAAACCGCAAATGTGACATTCACCAAATATTGACTGCAGGTGAAACTTACTGCTCCATGTAGTATACATTATATATATATATATATAGAGTACCTGTGAATGTATCAACACCCCCCCCCCTCCAAAAAAAGCATAAACATTTGTCCATTCTGGATGGAGTAGGGCAGGGTTAAAACCGCCTTTTTTTCTCACCATCTGTGTCTCAGTAGGGCGATCTTCCTTTACTTCCTCACCTGCAGACTCAACAGGAAGTGAGAGGATATTTTCCCAATGTGAGCGAAATCCTATCTTGGACAGTTGTTAACAAATATCGCCATTGGAAGATTTCCCCTCACTTTTCCCCCCCTAGTTTTGGACAGTGGAGAGGGATTAGGACACCGGTCAGGTTTTTTGCTGAATTACTTTGTTCCCATTAGGCAGAATCGCCTTCTCTAGTTGTCCTGAAGAGCATTTTACTGAAAAGGAGATTTTGGGTTGTCACCAGAACAGGAATAGATGGGAAATATTCCAATGGGGACACTTGTTCTGGTGACTCTGCTGACCACCATGCATTTCCCTCACTTAAGCAGGATTTTCCTCTCCCCAATGGAACACAGATGGAAAAAAAAGCTGCCAGGGATTATAACCCTCCCTGAAGCCGCCCATACACTTTACAACCCTTGCAAGACTTATGTCTTGCGAGGGTTGTAAAGTAATGAAAAAAAACGTACGATCTGCCCATCATGGACAGGCAAATCGTACCTGTGATCATGGCAAGCCCACCCCCCTGAGGGGTGGGCTTCTGATGACTGCAATGCTGAACGGGCAGTGTGCGCCCGTTCGGCAGTTGTCAAACAAGCGCGCCACTAACCCGCCGACAATCGTACGATTCCCAGCGGGTTTTCCAGCCTGCTTGTTCGACGGAAGACGTGCGACATTAGAAACGGTCCCACGCCTTCCATACACTTCGCGATTCTCGTACGATAATCGTGCAGTGTATGGGCACCTTTACTCTATGCAAAACTTAAAGGGTTTTGGCAGTTTTACTTTAAAGTATATTTTCACAGTATGATCACATTTAGTTTTGTTATATTTGCAATAAATGTCACTTTTGATGAGACTTTCAGTTTTATAAACGTGCTATTTCGTATTAAAGATATTTGTAGATCGGTTACTTGGAGGTCTCGGGGACTTAGGACAAAGTCTGTTTCTTTCAGAACTGTCCGAGATAAGAAATCGGCCACATAAAGGCCTAATTCACACAGGCATGATGCTCCATTCAGTGTTAATGGCCCTTTGCACTCTATGGGCTGCAGGCAGCTGATTTAACTCCATGGAAACACAGATGGTGTACAGCATCGGACGCAGACGGGATGCATCCAGGTCCGTACAGTCAGAGCTGCTGAAAGTAGTTCCTGCGTCTACATGGATTTAAATAAGCTGCCCACATGCTTCTGGTCACAGCTTTGGGTGCATCAACAACCGGCCCCTCATGCTGTATGGAGCAACACGCCCTGTGTGAATGAGGCCAAAGTGAGCAGTAAAGCCCAACCATTGTGTGAGAATAAATATAGAATATGCAAATATGTCTACCTCCTGTAAATATTTGCAAACTATACATAGAGGCATTGATAAAGTCGCTTACATCAAGCTGATCTTATTTGTGTGTGTGTGTATCTTTAAAAATACATTCCCATTGACAGTTCTACACATTAGGTAAATATGCTGCTTATGGTGGTCTTTTATTGTTTATACTTGTGAACATGGTGTTATCACAACCATTGTGCTAAAAGGAAGATTACCCTGAGTTTTGGGATGTGATTTTTTTTGAAAACAGTTTGCAGTGAACCACACCAGGCCGCAGCCACAATTGGGACTTCTAATATGGGCCACAAATGAACATACTAATCTGTGAAAGGAAATGCCTGCTGCCAATACTGATCTGTGGTGTACTACAGGATACTCAGGCTGACAGTGATAATCTTGTGTCCACTTTTACTTGGAATAAAGGTCACAAAGTGGTTTCAGCATTGGCATTCTACAAGAGGAACCCTATGTATGGAAGTATTATATCCAGGGCCGGATTTACTCCACCTGCCGCCCCAAGGCCAGGTTCCACAATACGCCGCCGCCGCCCCC